TTTTAATTTTGATTTGTATATATTGAGATATGATTGTTTTAATGAAAAGAGATCGTGCTATCAGTATTAATTAGTTGAGTTAATCATTGTGTAACTTAGTTGATTTTTATATAAATAGTCTAAAAAAGAGTTGATTATTTTCTGTTATGTTGAAATTATCTTGAATAGGCTGTTAATTATTTAGAGAGAAAAACTAAGTGGTGAAATTAAAAGAAGGTAAGTAGAATCTCACACACTTTACTTGTCTTCAAATTTGTGTGTATATATAATATATATTTCTAAATGAATGAATGTTTTATTTCATTATTTTCGATGTATGAAAATAGGATCAAGCATATGATTATTTTGTTCTTTTGTTATGTAAATGATGGATCATGCTTATAAATGAAATGAAAAAATAATTTATGTTTAAATAATGATTTTATGATAGCTATATTTTTACATCCCTGGGAAGTGGGATCATCGACATCAGAACTAGTTTTACGACCCTGACTAATGGGTTATAGTAGTTAGCAAAGACATGATCATACGACCCTGCTAAGGGTTATAGTAGTTAGCGTAAGGTTTTGGCTAGCGGATTATAATAGTTAGCAATGATCATGATGATGAAATTGTTGATACGGCCAATGTCACAGATTATAACAGTGATAGTAGCTAATGATAAACGAATGATAATAATGATTTATGATGATTTTAAACATTGATCCATGATTTGTATCAAATTTGTATTTGACCGTGTTTTGTGATTTATAATTGATGAATTGACATGTTTTGATATTAATTTATGAATTTGTGAAATGTTTGACAGAACAATGATCTTGAAATGTTTTGACAGTATGATTTGATGATTATTTTGAATACTCTATATGATACGTATGAAAACGATATTTGATCCGATAAGATGTGTGAGCTTATATTTGCTGAGCTGTGGTTTGTTCATTCTCCTTTTACTTTTTTTTTTTATAGATGAGTAAATGATAAGTTTGCTTAGTTTTGTGAAAGCTAAAAGATCAAATGGGAAAGATTACTTAGTCGTCAGAGACAATGTTGGCCAATGAAATCTTATGAAATGATTTTGTATTTTTATATGGTTTGTATTTGGATATATAGAGATGCATCATTAGTTAGATTAAATATATGAATTTTACTTGACAGACTATATCATTTTATTAAAGAATTTTATAATAGTTAAGAAAAAAACCTTTGTATTACTTTGGGGTTTATTTCTAGGTAATATGACCGTACTATATCTCAGTTTCGGGGCGTTACAGTAACACCCCCAATCCCACATCGGAAAGATGTGTGAATAAGAAATGATACATATGTAAAGATCTAATCCCAAACTTGTGAGGCACATTTTGTGGGATAAAACAATGAGACCTTCGGGTCAAAGCGGACAATACCTCGCAGGTTGAATGCGGGTCTCCACAAATGGTATCAGAAAGGTCATCACTCGACAGTCATGGGAGTCACTAAGTGCTACACGGAGGTCATCAGTCGGTGGTCGTGGGAGTCACTAAGTGCTATACGGTGGTCTGGTGTGATCTTGGTCTTATGGATGGATTCGACTTGACAAAGACCTCAAGCATTAAAGGCGGGAAAATTGTAACGCTCCCAATCCCACATCGGAAGGATGTATAGATAAGGAATGATATATATGTAGAGACTTAATCTCAAACTTGTGAGACGCTTTTAGTGGGATAAAACCGTAAGACCTTTGGATCAAAACAGACAATACCTCACAAGTTTGGTACGGATCTCCACAGATATTTTTTGATGCGCTTAACCATGCATCCATAGTTGACGGGCTTAAACTCGCTGAACAACATGGGGGAGTCGAATTTTTCGTCTATAAGCACTGTGATATGTCTCACCTTGATGCTCTCTTGTAGGTTCTTTTTTTTACATTAACATTTTCGTACTCTTTTTGACGCTTCCATTCTTATGCATTACAACCATATAACAATAATTTTCTTTTTTTTGTTTTTCTAAAATTTTGACAGAACAAACTGTAAAATGAAGAGAAAAGTAGTGGTGACAGATAGGTATGTCAAGTTAACTATTTGAATTTCTTCTTTCAATTTTCATTGGTATTTTAGTTGAGAGAATTAAATATAAATCTTGAAAATGGCGAATCAAGATTTGATCAAGTCTATCTTCTTTGAACAGCTTGTTCAGTATGGATGGAGACTTCGCACCCATGGTTGAGCTGGCTCAGCTTCGCAAGAAGCATGGATCTTTGTGGGTCCTTGATGATGTAAGTCCTTCCTAAATATTCAATTCTTTATGGAAATTATAAAAAAATTTCGCTATAGTAGGATGTTTGTCTTCTAGACTAACTGAATCCTCTACTTACATAACATGAATAGATTTGGTATACAGACTAAGAACTTGTTTTGTTGACTCAAGGATCAATAATACTTATCATATGGTAAAAAATTTTCAACTTTCAGGCTTATGGAACATTTGTTTGGGGCAAAAACGGTGGGCGAATAGCTGGGGAATTCAACTGTGGAAACGATATTGACATAAGCGTCGGCACTCTGAGTAAGGCAGCATCTTCCCTTGGAGGGTTCATAACATGCAGGAAATAACTTCAGCATATATATATTATATGTTCAGACTTCAGAGTGACCAAGGGAATTGCAATTTCCTTCTACAAGGAAGTCTCTAAAATGTTGAAACAGCCTACCAATGTGGAATTATTGAATGTGATTTAATTTGTGACATGAACAGCAAAATCTGGAAACAATTCATCCAATCAAGGGGTCGTTCTTTTATATTTTCAACAATTGCGCCGGTTCCCTTAGCCGCAGCCTCATATGGTAAAGTTAAACATTCCTTTTCCTAATTAGTTATAATTCTTCTATATATCTACCTGATTACTGTAGCATTCTTCTGCTGCAGACTATATTGAGTGCAACGTATGAATCAGCCTCGGTCACGGTGGAAAAAAAAAGAATCATGGCGTAGGATGGAAATTCGAAAACGGATGCAAGAGTTCCAAGCTCTAACTGGAATCCCAGTCACAAGTCAAATAGTGTGTGTTATAATAGGAGACGCAGAGAAGACATGCAAAGCGAGCCAGTTTGTTCTCTTTCACCTTTTAGTCAATTTCTCTTTCTCTTTTTCACTGATTATGTTCATCACCATATAGCTTCTAACACCGTAAATTGCCATTGATTAATCAGGGAATTGTTGGAATCCGGTTTCTATGTCGTGCCAGTCGGCCCCCCAGCAGTTCCTCCCAACACCGCAAGGTTAGACAAATGCTACATACACATAATCTTGTTGCATTTTTATGTATGTGTGTGAAATTTATGTATTTATTACGTGAATTTTTTTTTTCTCAGATTACGAGTGACTTTGACTGCGGTGCATACAACAGAAGATATAAAAAGGCTTCTAGCTATACTATCTGACTACGTTAAGTTTCAAGTTCCCAGCAGCAATAGCTCCAATTTAAGTGCCAGGCTTTAGAATACGTGTGATTGGTTTGGATCATAAACATGGATTCCTTATTGTTTATTATCAACAGAATAATGGTGTTACTTTCCTGTATTATCTTTAATGTGGTTGGAATGTCTCTAAATACATGTATTTGACTCCCTCAAGTACTTTGTGCTACCGTAATTCTTTCCTTGTTATCTTTCATTAACATAATAAACATCCCAACGAAGCTTCTTCTGTTAAGCAACAATGTTATGAATTTACAAACCGGATGTTTCAATTAAATTCCAGTATAAATTTTATATTAGATGATAAGATATGGTACTTTTCTTCTAGACTCTCATAGGATTATTGTCCATGGAAGAACTAGGAATGAAGAGAGCCAACCACATTCACTGACACACGATGAGATGAGGATTAGGAGTGGGTAACATGTTTTTTCCACTAAATCATTAGCATGTTTCATTAGATTTAATCTAATCATGTAATGAACAGACCATGCAGCAATGATCGCAACATGTTGTCCTACAATCCTGATTCCTGACAACCCCACCACCCAAAAAGGACAAGTTTAGTAACATTGAGAAATAAAGCAATCATTTTCTTACCTACAAGCTGCTAGAATTACATAAGCAACACTTTTTCTTCAAAACCAAGAAACCCCAACAAAGAAATTTACTCATTAAGAACATACCAATATATATTTTTGTCACAAATGTAACAAAGAAACAGTAAGATACGTCCTAAGGAGCAAGAAGTGACGAGAAACTTACGTCTTCAAGTTGGGTCTAAGCTTGTTAACCCATCTAAGACGACAAGATTTTCCAAAAGTCCCATGGATAGAAGGGAGCCTCAGCACTTCATGGCCCTTTCTTTATGTATGTTCCGTCACTTTGTCTGTCCATATCAAGAATTTGCACTTCTATTAGTACTTAATAGCAAATTCAAAACCCAACGTTAAATTCCCTGCTTTTTGGTTTCTCTTTCATTTTGTTTCTGTGAATCATATAAGGTAATTGGCAAATGAAACCAAGGCAATCTTCCCAAGTCATCAACAGCATTCCTTTCAACCTCTCAAATAATGACAGGTCATAACACCCTTTGGAATTTACAGAGGATTCGTCCTCCCACTCTTCTTTTATGTGACAGTTATGACGGTTAGTGACATTCAAATCACGTGATTAAAATCACAAAAAAAACCCCTGGCTTTATCCTCAAAATAACACAAAACCCAAATGGGTATCACTCACAAGTCACAAGGTTGTTGATTGGCCTGTCACCCACACGTGGTACGGCAATCAGTGACGCTAGCCTTTACAACCTTCAACTGCATGTCCACTATTGTTCCTTGGAACAGGATACTCAGCTCGCTGTTTCAAATGGCTCCCAGGAATCTGTCCATTTCACTTGTACATCTCACTTTTCTTGACTTTCGTGATATGGGTTTTGACCTTTTGTCCCTCTTGTTCTTTTTTTGTAGAAATGTTGTACCTGTTGATAGCCGTGGCTCTTATCAGCCAAAGGATAACATGGTGCTTAACAAGGGGATTTGTTCTGAAGCCAATTCAACGAGTAACACGATTAAACAAAAGCGCCAAATTTCAACGGCTTCAAAGCATCAAAGAGTCAAAGTAATGTTCGGGTTGAGGTGCACCAAACCCGAATGCTTCTGACCCAGTCTCTCAATTCGGACCTTCTGAAATGTAGAAATGCCAAACTTTATATTTCATCAAAACAATAACCCCAAAAAACAGGGAAAAACCATGTCTTTGTCTTGTCTCTAAACTGGGTATCTTCTTAATTTAAAACACGGTTTAGGGCCTTCAATTCCAGCTCAATTAAAAAAAATCGTGTCTTTTATCTCAGAAATCCCATTTCTTAAACAAATCTTATGTAAAAAAAATACTTTTTAATCTAATAAAATGGAAATAAACGGAGGTGCTTGTAATTCTGAGGATAAACGACGAAATGCACAGGTTGAAGGTGAAGCATCCGTTTTGAGTTCGAATGTACTGTTGGATCACGTTGGAGAGGTTACTCTCACTCTTCATTCGGATGGGTTATCTTGGAAATCACTTGATTCCTTCGATAATGTAAGCTTCCTTTATCTAGTATATTTACATGTACACGAATTAATGTAACCACTCACATTCAAATTTTGATTTTTTTCATATTGTCATGTCTTTTTAATGTTTATTTCTGATGATCGTGTAATGTAGTTTTGTTTTCACTGATCCTAATTTCCTTTTTCTTTTTTTTTTTATTTGTCTTTTTGAAGTTTATTAATTTTGTATTTATTTTGGATGATATGAGAATGGGCTTTTGTCTCTTTGCCATTTCCCTTCTTGAACTGTATGAGCTGAGATACCCTTTGATTGTTGAGAAAATACATTGACTTATGGTTTAAGGTAGGTTGGTTTTGATTAAATATTTGATGCTTTTCCTGGTTGTTTCCATGCATTTTGATTGTTTTCCGCATCTTTGAGTTGGGTTTTACACAAAATATGGTGTCATATTTGGCTTCTGATGGCTTCTTTGTGTTTACTGGAACAGGGTGCGTCAACTTGTTTGGGAATTAAATTTGTTCCTGAAATCGCAACAGAGTTTAAACTCTCTGATATCTATGCTGTAGAGTTAACTGACAGTGATATGATTCAAGAATCAAATCTTACATGTGCTGGGGAATGTTTCTTGGGGAATGACTCTGATTATTCTGAGGTTTGCTTTTACTTCTGTTCTTATTTGTTTCCTTTTCATACAATGATAATATTTCTCAGTGATTCATCTTCCTTATGATGCAGATGAACCACTTTGCAGTGCATTCCTTTCAAAAGTCTAAGTCACAGCCTTGCCTTTGGATCTTGGCCATGTACACTTTTGGTCACAAGGACTTGCAGACATGTCAGATGTGGGTGAATAAAATTAATGATTCTCTAAATAAGGAAGTTGGGAGACCAAAGAATCTTCTGGTATATGTCTTCTACCATTTGTGAAAAGTTTTGTGTTTTACGATATATTTCTAGTCACAAACTGAAGAGAATTTAGTAGCAAGATCTTTTGTTTTATTTCCCCTTAACTAGGTATTTGTTCATCCAATGAGTGGGAAAGCAAATGGCTGGAGGACCTGGGAAACTGTGGCTCCTATATTTTCACGTGCTAAAATAAACGCAAAGGTAAGCTTTCATAATGAATGCAGATAGATGTTTCTTGCATTATAAGCATTGCAGTGTTTAGTTGGATGATTAAATATTGTATTTTCTTAATTTTCATTTTGCTTATTACGGAAATTTAAACACATTAATCCGAATTATAGAGGTCCAAGTAATACCTGAGTCAAGCATGTGAAGCTATCCCACAATAACTATTGTTTCCATTTCAGGTGATTGTAACACAGAAAGCAGGGCATGCATTTGATGTGATGACATCTATTTCAAACGACGAGCTGAATTTATATGATGGTGCTGTAGCTGTTGTAAGTGTTTGCATACCTGCATGTCATGATGTCATATGCATCTTTCCTCTACTAGAGTAGTTATACTAAATTTACCTCATAAAAGGTAAGTTGTTAAGTTGATGGAAAAGATAAAAGCATTTCAACTTCAGGTTTATGTTTTCAGAGTCTAAGTGGTACTACATGTAGTCCAAAGCTTTTTGTAGGTTGTAACTGCTCTGAATGTCATAGTTCTATAATTTTATACCCCATTTTGGGGTGGTCTTGGTTCTGCTCGCTGTTTTTTAGTAATCTTTAATCTGTGATAAGTTTATAGTATTTTCCATCTATAAATATATATATGAATTTTGCATTTTTTTCTTTTTGATTTGCAGGGTGGTGATGGTTTCTTCAATGAGATCCTTAATGGCTATCTTTCTTCAAGGCATAAAGCTCCTTTCCCTCCTGCCCCTTCAGATTTCCTTGACGCTCTGGGGAATGATGTCAACTCCTTAGTTCACTGTCAAAAGAAAGCAGGCTTTGAGACTCATCACAACAAAGAGAGTGATCCTTTCCTCCCGAGCTTGGAACATAATGAATCTCAATTTTCTCATTTGGGTGTGTATCATAATAACTATATTTCCATAAAAGTTAAATTTGTGGTTGTTCTGTTTATCTTGTATAATCATGTTGGCATCTATTTACAGGAACTAATGATGGTTCTCACTCCGTAGGTTAGTTTTTACCATATCTTTACAAACTACAGTAATGATGGAACTCTGTTGTTTGTCCCTCACTAGTTGTGGTATTTGTAGATTATCTACATATATCAATGCTTGAAACCTGAATAAATTTTTTATATATATGCAGATAAAGAAATTGAGTATTCGCTCCCTAATCGGAAGTTTAGATTTGGAATAATTCCTGCAGGTTCAACGGATGCCATTGTGATATGGTATATTCTTTCATCCTTATGAGTTTTCCTGCTTTATGTTTCTTTTATTTTTAGACTCCGCATAGCAGAGTTAGTTCTGTAGCTGAGCATGCATGTAGCAGGCTTTTTGGGTCACTATTTTTAATGTTTGTACTCAGAATGGAGTCCAAGTATTAGTGCCTAATTTTAAAATCTCCTTTTGATATGGATACTGCCTTAAGCTTTGACATTTTTGCACTAAGTGGCTGCTCACAGTGGCTAATGGTGATAAAGAGCATTAAAGAAATAAGTGACCACTGACTGGATGACTGGATGACATTTTTAAGTATTAAGAGCTGCCACTTATGCTAAGGACGTAAGTCTTAGGAGCTGTTATGCTAAGTACTAAATGTTGGGATTTATATCCATATCACCTGTCCCAGGACCTTGCTTTGGTGTAATTATAGATACATAATAACATTTCCTTTACATGTCACATCTCTTTAAGGAAATAGTATGTGATTTCCACAGCTACTGCTGATTGCAAAACCATGGAGCTAATCATGGGTGTCGTACTTTTTTTACTTTAACAGTTTTTTTTTTTTTTGTTTCTTTCTCGCAGCACCACCGGCATTCGAGATCCTATAACATCTGCACTACACATTGTCCTGGGTAAAAGGGTGTGCCTTGATGTTGCTCAAGTTGTAAGATGGAAAACTACTTCTACCTCAAAGGTTGAACCTTATGTACGCTATGCGGCTTCTTTTGCTGGGTAGTTTCTTGTTATAACTAATGTCATGGATCTATGAAAGTGTTAGCATTTAAATGTTCTGGGTCCAGAACTTGGTACTATTTTACAATTTTCTGTTCGATATACAGGCATAGATATATCTGTACATGTGTAGACATGTTGCTGAATGCATGTTTGTTAGCTAGTTAATAACCTTTCAAGTATGGTCAATGGTGATGACATTTGAGCAGGGTCAGCAAAATTGAAACGCATTCTAGTGTGCTCATGTTCTTTTGTTGCTCCATATATAATTACCCTGATGGTCTCTTAGCAACTTATTGCTGAAATTTTGTCAGGTATGGATTTTATGGAGATGTCATTACAGAGAGTGAAAAATACCGGTGGATGGGCCCCAAACGGTATGATTACGCTGGAACAAAAGTGTTTTTGAGACACAGGTAATGAGTTTGCAGACCAATGAAGCTAGGTTTTGGTGTCATTCAATAAGGAATTCATTGTTGGCTTCAATTTGTTACAATTTATAGTTATAGAAGAACTGCAGTTAACTCTGAAATTTGGAACAATAAGAAAGATTTTCCTTCTAAAGATAGCATTTTTCTTTCAGATCTTTAACCTTTTGTCATTAGTTTTAAGCTTGAGATTTCCCTTCCCAAGGGCCTGTCTTAGGATCATTGATTTCTTGCAAATGCTGCTCATTTATATGTGGTAGTTAGACCATCATGCTAAGTTATGGTAAACTTTTGTCTTCATTAAGGTCCTATGAAGCGGAAGTAGCTTACCTGGAAGTTGGTTCAGAAACAATTAGTTCAATTCCAGATGGAAGTAGGCTGTTTGGTAAGGTGTGGAGCTTGAAACGAAAAAAATCTGAAAGAATAATTTGCCGAGCAAATTGCAATGTGTGTAATAAAAAGCCAGTTTGTTCTTCCACAAGAAGTCCCCCTGCAACACCTTACATGATTTCACAAGAAACAAGATGGCTTAAATCTAAAGGGCGTTTTCTTAGCGTTGGTGCTGCCATAATGTCTAACCGAAATGAAAGGGCACCTGATGGTTTGGTGGCCGACGCACATCTTTCAGATGGTTTCCTGCATCTTTTATTAATTAGAGACTGCCCTCATGCATTATATCTCTGGTAATACAAAGCACTCACATTCATACTTCAGAAAACTGTTTTCAGTGATGACTCATGTTCAAAACCTACAGGCACCTTACGCAGCTAGCAATGAAAGGTGGAAACCCCCTGAATTTCGACTTCGTGGAACATTACAAGGTATATTTTCTTGCCATGTCTTGTCTTTCTTGTGTTCCCAAATATCTCTTTTGTAGCCATTGTTAACGTTATCTCCAGACCCCAGCTTTTACATTCACTTCCTTCGGCAATGAGAGTGTCTGGAATCTGGATGGTGAGCTTTTTCAAGCACACAAATTTTCAGCGCAAGTGTTTCGAGGCCTGGTTTGCTTATTCGCATCCGGTCCTGAAGTTTAGTAGGAGAAATAGGAAAGATGGTCTCATCAAAGCAGTAAAGGATTCAATTTACACCATTACAGGCCACAAAGAGTTCATCAGAGTTAGCTGATACCATTGCACTAGAAATTGGTATGGTCGTGATGGAGGTTTGATCCAGCATTGTACATCATGTATGAGTTTTATTTGGTAATAAATTCTCCATTTTGCATCACTTTCTACCGATTTAATCATTTTTAATTTGCTATCAGCCCCGACACTCTGTTTTAATTATAGATTGACCCTCAGGAAAACATTTCAATACAATTTGGTAGAAAGGGATGCAAATTTAATTTCAAGAATTAATGCTGGCATTTAACAATTTTTGGTGAAACATTACAAAATTGGGGATGACACAGAAATTGAAAACAAAACTAGTACTGAAGTCATAGGGGTTTTTATTAGACCTGCTATTGCTTAAGGAGCAAGGAAAGCTTTATTAGTTTATTGTTTGAGTATTTATTATTAATAAAATAAAATAAAAGATTTTTATCAAGAAATTATAATAATTATATAAAAATTAATATATATTTTTAATTAAATAAGTAAATTTAAATACGAAATATTTTTAAAACAAAAAATTTTTAAATATTATATTTTTTTAATAATCACATTTTTTAAATTTAAAAATAAAAAAAATTCGAATACCATATTTTTTAAAAATTATATTTTTTTCAAAAATTAAAATTTCACGAAGTAAACGAACTCTAAAATAAAAAATAAAATTAAAAATTTAATATTTTGCTAACAAATAATCATGAGCACCGACTGTCGACAAAATATAATAATTCTCCCTTATTATTCTAAAAACGAGAAAAATGCCAATATGATTCATGTCATTTCATGCCACATCACGTAGATGCAATCAAACACGGCCGCGTCGTCAACTTATTCCCACCGACCAAATGGGTCCCACTTAACTTCGTCCTTGCCCTCTGTGGTCTTACAAAAAGCAACGTTATTCGTTACCAACAACGTAGCCTTTTCTGCCTTGGAACAACACGTCACTGTCTTCCTCTTCTTCTGACCTGGAAACGGTACTGTTACAAAAAGCTTTTCTTTTCTCTCTCCCATCTCCAAAGAAACGCACTTTTTCTTCACCGTGAAAAGGGAGTGGCTTTATCATTTCTTTGAATTCACCATCTCTCTTGATTCGCTTCTTTACGATCTTTCATTCAATACCGAGACCCGGATTTTCTTTTCCTCAATTCCCAATCAAAATTCAGTATTACCCAGAAACAAATTTTCATTTTTCTTTTTTATCATGCTTTTCTTGAAACTTTTCCTTCTCTTTTCCTTCTTCTCCTTCACTTTCTCTCTCGAGACCTTCAACTCCCACCTTCTCCCAAGACCACTAATCATACGATACCCAGAAGACATCGAGACCCAGTTCGAGAAAATCGATGAAGAGCTCAAGTTACAGTGTACGAGCTGGAGATTTGCTGTGGAAACCAACAATTTGAGTCCCTGGAAGACAATACCGGAGGAATGTGTGGGCTATATTAAAGAGTATATGACGGGTCGAGGTTATAAAGTGGATCTCGAAAGGGTTTTGAATGAGGCTGGGGTTTACGCCAAGAGCGTGGAGCTGAGTGGAGATGGAAAAGATGTTTGGGTGTTTGATATTGATGAGACTTTGTTATCCAATCTTCCTTATTATGTTGAGCATGGTTATGGGTAAGATACAAATTTGGTTGGTTCCATTTTCATTTTCATTTTCCATGATGCTGTTTGGTTGCTAAAGGGAAAACAGAAGAAATATGGATATTCTTTTATGAGATGCTAGGAATTAGAATATTACATGTGTACGCTACCTTTGTTGTTAGGCAGTTTGGTTGCTGATGTGGGAAGGAATATGAGAATGGGGATGGCATTATTTAAATTATGATGAATCAAGCACCATTCACGTTTCACACTACACGAATGGTTGTGCTTTCAGCAAAGAAAATTGCTTGGAATTTTATGTATGTGTGTGTGTGTAAATGTTGAGCTGTTTTGTTTATTAGAAGCTGTAGATTATAGAGGCAAGGAAAAAGAATATCTTTGGGGATGTGAGAAACATGGAACGAATTTTGATGCTTGTTTTCTTATAATTCTATCAGTTTCTCAACAGTCTTACGGAAGAAAAACATTCAAATTAATAGGACTTGGGGATTTTACCGAGTTTTTCCCTTTAATTGTTGCTTTTGTGTGAGACTGAAATTGCTTAATATCTAATGTGGGTTTCATTGTGAATTTGCAGCTTGGAGATTTTTGATCCTGTTGAGTTCGATAAGTGGGTTCAGAGGGGGATGGCACCAGCAATAGAGCCCAGCCTGAAGCTTTATGAGAAGGTTTTAAATTTGGGCTTCAAAGTTTTCTTACTGACTGGGAGAAGTGAAAAGCAAAGGTCTGTTACGATTGAAAATTTAACCAAAGCAGGGTTTCAGAGCTGGGACAAGCTTATTTTAAGGTGAGCTCCTTAACTCCTTTGATTGACATATGTGAATTTGGTAACATATATATCCTATTATCAGGCATGTGTTGGACTCAATGGTAGTTTTTATTGGGTTTTTCATAGAGTTCTAATTGTTGGAATTGTCGATATGAGTAGTGAATTTTACTAGTTTCTATGCCATGATGTGCTTTAAAAGTTTCTTGCTAGACAGCTTCCTTGATCTATGGTCTCGACTTTCCTAATTTTCTGTTCAATCTAGACTCATGTTCCAAAAGGGCAGTATTTATACCCAGGTTGTAGTCGTTACTTTTGCTGTGCTGATTGTGTGCTGTTCTGCATATCTGTTTTGCCCGGGAGGTCTCGAACTTTATTTCCACTTCTTTTTATTTTTGAAAATTCCTGCATGGAGTGAAATCATGAGAGACATTTGGTTTTTTGGTAGTGCACCAACTTCGACTTTGCTGAATGAGATAATAGGAAGAATAATTTAAGGAAAATAATGAAGATATTCTTTTAGATGGGAGAATATTTCGGCTTATCCGTTACGGGATTCTCTGCTAAAGTATGAATGCATGTTTTTTCTAGTTTCACCTAGGGAATGTAAGGGAAGCTTGTGCAGAATAAATTTGGTTGGGCTTTACTGGAAAATGTTGCAGACTTGGAATAGGTGGTAGTTTCATTCTTACCTTAGTTTGCACTTCTTCATTCTTTTTCTTTTGTTTTCTGTTGTCTACCATAGACAAAGACATGGAAACTTTTATCGTGAAGCTGTATCTTCTATATTTTATTCTACAAATGTTTTATTTGGCCTTTAGGCCTAGTAATTACTGATGTAGTAATCGCCATATGATCCCTGTATTTTCATTCCATGCAGAGACTCCGAAGACCATGGCAAGCTAGCAACAGTATTTAAGTCAGAGAAGAGGAGTAAGATGGTAGAAGAGGGATATAGGATTCTGGGTAACTCTGGGGATCAATGGAGCGATTTACTGGGCTGCGCTCCTTCCATTCGATCATTCAAGTTACCGAATCCTATGTATTACATTCCCTAACGAACCGCCTTTGTTTTCAGATATCAAGTATGAATAATTGTCTATCCAGCAGGAATCTTATTCTTGTAGCTTGTAAATACATTCAAATCCACAACTGTTATCATGCCTGCTCATTAACTGTACTGCAATACACTCAAGTAATTAACAAAAAGAAAATGTGATTCATCATATGTTATCTTCCCACTATAGTTTTCCAGTATAGTATTTTGGTTAGGGGGATATCATATATTTACTAATTGTAGACAAACAAGGAAAATGAAGAAACCAAACTTCGGATTTCCAAGTTCCAGAGTCTGCAAAAAATTTACAACCAGCAGAAAGAAATGGTCTTTAAACAATTCAATTTCTTTTTTTTTTGGTTTGGGACTCATCAGTCGTGATGTTATTCTATGAGATTGTGCTGTTGATCAAAGAAAAAGTGCCAAACAAAACATGAGTTGGATTGGATGGTGTTCTTAATTGTTGAAAGAGAGACTTACAATGTCTCGATAGTTACTTCGTGTAGACACCAAATTTATCCGAAATACAGTGAATCAGGCTTTTGATTTAAATTTACAAGCTCAAGTTTTTTTGTCGAAGTTCGATTTCGATTGTTTAAGCTCAAAACTCAAGTTCATTATTTTTGGGCCTAGACCCACTATTTTATTTTTATTTTATTATTATTATTATTATTTTCTAATTAAGTATTAAATAAAATATTAAATATTAGTTAATTAATTTATAAAAAAAAAGTGACACATTGAACTATGTATCCCACACATCCTCTCCTGAGACTTGTAACCTGCCTAAACCACCTACTTCCCCTTGACGCTCCTAAAAGCTTCAGCCTTTTAACCAAAGATGGATTCCCAACCCTGGCGAAGCCCCATTCGATCCTCACCAAGTCCTTGGCCACCCTCCAGCCCACAAGTCCCCAGAGTCTCAGCCCTTCACCATTACCCCAACACACCAAAGGGCACCAGACCCCATCTCGTGCAAGACCAAGCACTAAAGCACCACCATCTCAAACTCCTCAGCATTTAACAGCCTTCCAACCTACCTGATGTCCTGCCACCCTAATCACCCCACCAGAAATCAGCTTAGCCCTGGCACTGTCCCAAAATCACAGTAGGCACCATAACTTCATCGCCTCCGCGTCTAGTACCAGCCAACCCCTGCCCGAATAGCCACTAAACATCCAAACCCATACAGCCACCAACGTTCGAATCCAACCCAAACCGTCTGTCACTACCGGTGCCACCACACCAAAAGCCCTCAGCCAAAACCTAGCCTACCCACTACCAATTCCCCAAACAACCCTTCCAAACCCAAAACGAAAATAACCCACCAAAAAACCACAGCCCAAACAAAACCACCTCAAAAAAAAAAGAGAAAAATAGAAACTACTCGTGTCCTTTCAAAATCAAACCAAGCACAAAAACAAGAAAAGAGCCAAAAACAACAATAGTCCCTTGATGGAGAACCTAGCGCTAACTTAAAAAAAAAAAAAAAAGAGAAAAAAATCAAATAAAAAAAAAAGTGTTTTTGGTCGAAAGGTCGAGGCTCGATCTGGGGAAATAAGGTTAGTTTTTGGTAAAGGGAAGGTCGAATCTAGAAATTAGGCGTTATCGGGAATTTTTGGGAATTTTTTTGGACTTTTCAGTCACTGGCACGGAGGCTGGTGACCACCGACGCCAGATTTTGGCAAGGCTGTAGAGGATTTTTGGGGCCAAAAGGTTTTTTTTTTTTCTAAATTAAGGATAAAATGAACTAAAATAAAATTGATTTATATATAAATCACAAAGAAACAAAACGACACTGTTTCAGCCTTTAGATTCACGCATTGACCCGCGAGTGACTCGCAACCCGCGCACCTGACTCGGTTTTCCTCCTTAGCCAGGGTCCGACCGATCAAGTTGGGTCAATATTAACTAGATCGATCCAATTTAGATAATCTTTTTTTTTGAAATTTTTGATTTGTTTTTATTTATTTATTTATTTATATATTATTTATATCACTTTAAGTTTTGTTATTTATGTTTGTTTAAATTTTTAAATTTGTTAAAATAAATATTTGTTGTTTATAATAATAATTAATAAAAATAAAAGCAAAACAAACAAACAAATAATGTGTAATAAAGTTTAATGTTTGATAGTTTAAAAAAAAAATCAATTATAAACCTTATAAAATTATAAAATAATAAAAATAACTAGATAATAGTAATAAAAATAATAAAAAATACAAATGATTTCAAAACTTTAGATTTTTTTTAAATTTAAAAAAAATAATAACCAAAAAAATAATAAATAAAAGAATAAAAAATTTACAAAAAGTGATAATAATAATAATAATAATAATAATAAGATTTTTTTCTTACCTAGATGATGAAGGGAATTAAAATCATTTTTAAAAGATAAATAATAAATAAATTTATTTAGATGTTAAAAAATTATTAAATAATTAATAATAATAATAATAATAATAAATTTTTATAAAAAAGAAATATATGAAAGAAATTTTTTCGAAAATTATAAAAATCAAAGTTGCTTCAAAAATCCATCAAGATGTTATAAATTTTTAAAGATGTTTTTTTTTTTTTTTTCGAAACCCTAAAACTCATAACTCCAAAACTCAAAATCTTTTCAAACCCTCTAAACCTTAAACCTTTCCAAACCCTAAACCCTCTAAACCCTAAGGCGTTCAAACTTTAAATTTCGAAACTCTAAAATTTTAAAACTTTCTAAAACTTAAAACCCTTAAAACCCTAAAACTTAAAACCTTAAACTTTAAAACCCTAAAACTCTCCAAACCCTAAACCTTTCAAACCCTTAAACCTCTGAATCTTAAAATTTCAAACTCTAAAATTTGAAATCTGAAACTCAAAATCCAAAACTCCAAAACCCTAAATTCAAAACCCTAAACACCAAAATCATAGACCCCCAAAACCTTAAAATCTAGAACCCCAAACCTTAAAATTCAAAACTCGAAAATCATTCAAACCCTAAAATCTCAAAACCCCAAAAACTTAAATCTTAAAGCCTCGACCTAAACCCATACTCAAAGTCATTCCAAAACTTTAAATACACGTGTGAAAATCTCATGTGAAGTAATTTATTCTCAAATGTCACCTAAAAAATGAAGTATTTAGAAAACTTTATTTCATTAACTTTTTCGTATGAGTCCTTAACCAGCATTAATAATGAGATTCAAATAAAAAAATAAAATGAGATCTTAAATATAAATAGTTACACTTAAACTCTATCTAGATGTTGTAAAGTCAGGATAGTTTCATTATATTTAAGAATCCGATTTCAAATTTGCATTTCATTATCATACACAACACCTATTGGCAAACATACATTTATTTGTTATTATTTGCACTCGTTTTGCACATTCATGTCTTTAATTATTGTTTGTTACCTGATAATAGCATCATTTATTTTCTCACATAAAACGTTTTAAGAAAATAATAAAAAACACGTATTTTGAAAATGTGAAACTATAAAATAAAACAAAAATAACATTCCTGAGAAAATAATTCTCGGTACTCTGCTTAAATGTTAGAGAGTCACCAACAATTATCTTCTACAAAAAGTGTTATTTTTTAAAAAAAATGTTATGATAAATTTTAGATAAAAAGAGTTATTTTAAATTCTACTTAGATTTTGAAGAATCTTAAAGTAATTCTTTAACTTAAAGATTTTTTTGATATCTCTAACAAAAGAATTTTAATAAAATTATTTTTCTAAAAAAAAAAAGAGAATTATTATTAAATTTCAAATCAAAACCATTTTATCCAACACAAAAAATAATGCATGATTAATTAGTACCAATTTATGGGCGTTGTGGGGGTGTTAATCTTTTTTCACACGTAACCAACTCCCGAATCTAACCTGATTTTTTATAGACCAAATTTATCTTTTTAATAAACTTTAAACCTATTTTTTTTATAGTTTTGTTAAAAAGATAAACTTTTAAATAGTCAATCATACTCTAAAAAAGATTGGTGGTGACTATCTTTTTTTTATTTTAAAATTTTTACGTCTAGCTGTTTTAAAACCATTATGACTGCTTTGGGACTCCACTAAGGATTTTTTTAGAGTTAAGCCAAAAATTTTAATTATGCATTATTAACAGTTGTTGAATTTAATTAGTTTTATTTGATATTTAATTTAATTTCCTAAATTTTAATTTTTCAAAAAATATATATAAGTTAATAAATAAAATAAATTGCTTGTTAGTTATTACTTTGTTTTGATTTTGTGCTTATGATTTATTTATGTTATTTTGATTAATATGTCACTTTGCACACTTTTGAATATGCATTTACATGCATGATTTCTATACCCGGGTTTTATCTTTTTAGGAGAAAGTGAAATAGCTACGCTCTCGTGAGGTGATAACCTTTCATTTACTAGTGAAACACCTCTACTAAGATTAGACCATTTTCATTTGTAGCCTGTAATTGGTGAGAATTTGTATGCCTTATTAGACTGAATGGACAATGATGTAAGGTTGATTTAGGAACCTTTAGATAAATAAATCCCAACTTGGCATATTGAGCGCCATAAAAAGCCTGCCTAAGATAGGGCTGTAAACGAGCCGAGCCGAGCCGAATAATGAGAAGCTCGAGCTCGAGGTCGACTCACAATTCAGGGCTCGATACTCGGCTCGAGCTCGATCGAGTTTCATTTTTCAAGCTCGAACTCGATTCGTGATCGAATTCGAGCTATTCGAGCTCGCTCGATTAAGCTCGATTAATATATAAAAAAAGGTCGATTTTTATACTCGAAAAAAAAACTCGATTATTCGAGCTCGAGCTCGAGATCTTTTACAACTAATTTTTATCAAACCTAATAAATATTATATTTTCAAGATAACAACAACAATAACAACAATAATAATAATAATAATAACTTACACAACAACCAAATTTAAGCAAATAAAAGTCTCATTAAATGATTCAAATACAACACACAAATATAAGACATAATGAAACTTAGAAATTAAAATCCTAATTGAAAGATATTAAATATCCAAGCAAATAAGTTCACAAATAAGTTACAACAAACCAACAACAATACATATGCTGCCTTCACAATATTATGTCTTCAAATGAACATTGGGCTCATATTGCTTTTCAATAAACCTATACAAAAGAATAATTACAAAACAAAGAAATTATAATTAACAATAAGAATAACGATAAAAGTACCCATGCAAGAAAAAGATTGTAATATTATTACAATGATCAATAACTTTAAATTTTTAACATTAGCATCAATATGGATTTTATCTTGTCAGTTGTCTTATAATCAGAGCAAAAAAATATAAACAGTATCTTGTCAATTACCTTAACATGAGTTTCTATCATTAGTTAACCTATGGTTCGTAAATTATAATGCAAAAAGCTCAATCTAGACTAGCTACTACCTATTTTTCTTTAGTAATGTTGTGACAAATTAAAAGTATTTAATAATAATATTTCATACCTGTATAGAAGACATTAGATATCTTCACTTTAGGGGATTTTGAGTGCAATCTCAATTGATTTCTTCTCTTTCTACATAGATAAAGTAAAGGAAAATAATAGTTAAAAATTAGATTAAAGCAATGATAGTCACCTAATAACAAAATAATAATAAAAAAAACTCACTTTGTTCTTCTTCTTCACTCCATGAAGATTCCGACACCAATCTCCTCCACAAAGTAATGCTTGCACTGTGTCAGGAGATAAAGAAGCACGATAAGTATCAATAACTCTACCTCCTGCACTAAAGGTAGCTTTTGAAGCCACTGTAGTGATAGGAATAGCAAGTATATCCCGAGCCATCTTGGATAAAATACGATACTTCAAAGTGCTCGCTTTCCACCATTCAAAAGCATGAAACTTAGTGGAATCTCCTTTACAGATAAAACAGCCCTCAGCTAGGTAGACATCTAAATCAGATTATTGTGGTTGAGCAGTTTCAACTGATTTTACATAATTTGCAAATTCAAACCAACCAGAAGAAGAAGCTTCTATATTCATACCACTAATACCATTATCATGCACTTGAGTTTCAGTACTATGCTCATTGCCAAATTGATACTCACGAGCATATTCATCATAAATCTCATAAAGGGCATCTCGAACTTTAGCAATATTTTCTTTTGCTTCTCTATCAGGGTACATTCGAGGAAAGCAAAACTCAATCACCCTCATTTTGCACCTTGGATCCAAGATTGCTGCTATAGACATCAACAAATTACATTCTCCCCAATACTTATCAAATTTACTCTTCATCTTACGAACCATTGCTTGAACAAATTCATTTTCATCATTCATCCTTTTATCCAACAACACTTTCACACGATAAACTTCATTCAGAAACAGGTTTGAAGTTGGATAATCATTTCCAGAGATGATTTTAGTGGCTGAATTAAAAACTTCTAAAATCTCACAAACTTTCTCCACCTTTTCCCAATCTTCATGACTTGGACAACATTCATAATGAGATTCTCGCTCTTTGAGTCTCGAAAACACTTCTTTGAATTTGATTGCAATCGACAACATCTCGAATGTTGAATTTCAACGTGTTTTACAATCGAGAATGAGTTTCCTATCAGGTAACTGTAACTGCTGTACTATATCAGAAAATGAGTTAAGTCTTGCCTCATTTTGATTAATAAAACTGACACTTTCATGAACATCACTAATCACATTCTTAATCTCAGAAAAGCCATCTTGAACCATGAGATTTAAGATATGTGCACAACACCGAACATGAAATAATTTTCCTCCACAAAGCAACATCCTATTTCTTGAAAAAGTGTCTTTAAGAATTTTAATCGCCACATCATTGCTTGAAGCATTGTCCACAGAAAGTGTAAACACCTTGTTTTCAATTCCCCATTCCTTTAGACACTTAAAAATACAATCAGCAATCTCAACACCGCGACGAGGAGGAGGTATGTGAACAAAGCTAATAACACGTTTTTGCAATCTCTAATTAGAATCTACAAAGTGTGCTGTAAGAACCATGTGCTCAATCTTTTAATTACTTGATTTCCATAAATCTGTTGTCAAACTAATCTTACTGACAGTCTTCAACAATGCCTTTAATTTCTTCTTTTCTGCTTCATAAACTTGCATGCAATCTTTTTTAATAGTATTACGTGATACCTTTTCCCATTCAGGCATCTCATGTTTTTGCATCATGTTAAAACCTTCCTCTTCTATAATCGAAAAAGGATGCTCGTGCATAAGTATCCAATGTGCAGCTGCTTCTCTCATCTTTACCATATCAAACTTGCCATCTGTGAGAGCAGGTAGTATCTGTACATCACCACATGTGTTTACTAGCTGAAAGTTGATCATTTGTTGTTGATTCTGAAAAATTTTTCTCTTAACATAAGTTGTCAAATGCCTCTTAAATTGAGTTGTACTTTTACTTGTATTTATTGCTAGCTTCTTCTTGCAATGGACACACTCTCCTTTTTTGGAACCATCAGAAAGAATGACTTCTTTGAATTCTAACCAAACAGCAGATGTCTTTTGCCTCTTTTTCTCATTACTTTCTTCACACTCTTCAAGGTCAGCATTATCACATTCTCTATCATTGGCATCAATGACTGGTGTTTTATCTGTGTTACCATTAGTGGCATCTAAAGCTTCATTCATTGAATCATTACCATCATCTGACACAATTCGACTAGTAAAAGAATTTATTATCGGCTGAACTGGTATAGAAGAGATATCCGGTGTGGTTGATGACATGTTTAGTTCCCTATAAAAAAAAACAAAAAAGACAAATCAAAACAATAATATAATTTTAGGATCAAAAAATAATGCAAACAAGTTGTTAGAAACATGTGCGATAAATTTTATTGCCAGAAACATGCTAAACAAGTTGCGAGAACAAATTATTGGAAGAGTATAAAATTTTATTCTTTGGGAAAATATACTAATATTGTATGAATTTTAATAAATTTAAGATTACCTACTTCGATAATAATTTCAATTTCTAAAATCAATTTCTTAAAATGAATATTTCTTATTAATTTTTACAATTATACATGTCTATTTAGTATTTATATAACATTAACTCAATCTCATTAGAAATAAGTGTCAGGTTATATTCTAACAAATCTAATATGCATAAAGAAGAAAAGTATTCACATTAAACAGTCCCCAATAAATTAGTGATGAACTATATGGAAGCTCAAATTATGATTATGACTAAAAACAATAGAGCCAATGACCTTTTTTTTTTGTTAAATAATATGAACCATCCAAAAGTTTTTCTACTGATAAAGCGTATTGTGCAAGTCTTGAAGTGGCCCAAATTCAATTACTTTCTTGCTAATAATATAGAGACTTTTGGTTTACAAAATTCAATATTTAAATGCAACTTCACAAAGAACATACTGCTTTTCACAAGTTTGCAACAAAAATAAAAGTATAATATGATAGTGTTTGACAAACAAATCAGAATTGAGAATATCAATATTAACAAATAGCTATAACACCTTGCCCCATTTCATTGTTGTTCTCGATCTGCATCCCCATAATATTCATAAGGGTATTTAATTTAGGCATTCATAAAGGTATTTAATTAAGGCATTCTTATTTAAACCACCTTTTAGCATGAATTGAAAGCCTAACATAAAAACATTTAATAAAAAAATAGCACTCAAAAAGTATGTCATGGAGAAAAGGCTACGTTGAGGGATCGGGTTCTGTTCAAGCTACTGCAAATGTCGAATGGGTGGAACGAGCTTACCTTTTAGAGAGAGGAAAAAGGGCTACGTTGAGGGATCGGGTTCTGTTGAAGCTGCTGCAAACGTCGAATGAGTTCTGTTGAAGCTGCTGTAAACTGTTGAAGCTGCTGCAAACTGTTGAAGCTGCTGCAAACATCGAAGGGGTTCTATTCAAGATCTGCAAACTGTTGAAGCTGCTGCAAGCTGCAAACGTCGAATGGGTTCTGTTCAAGATCTGTAAACTGTTGAAGCTGCTGCAAGCTGTAAACGTCGAATGGGTTCTGTTCAAGATCTGTAAACTGTTGAAGCTGCTGCAAACTGTTCAAGATCTACAAACTGTTGAAGCTGTTGCAAGCTGCAAACGTCGAATGGGTTCTGTTCAAGATCTGTAAACTGTTGAAGCTACTGTAAATTGTTCAAGATCTGTAAAATGTTGAAGCTGCTGCAAGCTGCAAACGTCGAATGGGTTCTGTTCAAGATCTATAAACTGTTGAAGCTGCTGTAAACTGTTCAAGATCTGCAAACTGTTGAAGCTGCTGCAAACTGTTGAAGCTGCTGCAAACGTCGAATGGGTTTTGTTCAAGATCTGCAAACTGTTGAAGCTGCTGCAAGCTCCAAACGTCGAATGGGTTCTGTTCAAGATCTGCAAACTGTTAAAGCTGCTACAAACGTCGAATGGGTTCTGTTGAAGCTGCTGCAAACTGTTGAAGCTGCTGCAAACTGTTGAAGCTGCTGCAAACATCGAATGGGTTCTGTTCAAGATCGGGTTCTGTTCAAGCCTTTTAGAGAGAGGAGAAAGGGCTTTCGAAAGGGTGGAACAAGCTTGGAAGACAATGGAATGGGATTCAGGAAGAAAAGCGGCCGCAAGTAGGGCTGTTGCCTGTTGGTGAGTGAGAGAGACGGGGAGAAAAACTGAAGGAGAAGAGAGAAAGAAAGAAAATAAAATTTTAGGGTTTTTTAAGCTAAGGGTAAAAAAGTAATTTTATAAATAAAATAATAAAAATAAATATATAATAGAAAAGCTCGATTAGGCTCGCGAGCTACTCGAGCCGGATATAAGAATACTCGAATTCGGCTCGATCGATAAGTCGAGCTACTCGAGCTCGAGCTCGACTAGATAATAATCGAACCGAATTCGAGTTTTCTTCGAATCGAACCCGAATAGCTTGCGAGTACTAATGTATCATTTACACCCCTAGCCTAAGATAAAGCCATACCACTTTTTTAGAAAATTACTAAAAGTTAGGACACTATATATATTCCATTATTATATGGTTGCTATATTATTTCTATTACTTGTTTGTTTTGAATTATTGAGTTAATTTTTTTTTATATATTCTTTGATTTTGTTGCTTGCATTATATAGGCATTATATTTTAAGAAAGTGTATTTTTTTTAGGCCAATCATTGATAAGGAAAAAAAGAAAAAAAGAGAATTATCGTGGAGCCATTAGTGGTGTTGACCTTTTATAAAAATTATTTAGAAGTTCGAAGCCATGTCATTTTTTTTCATAAAAATGAACTAAATTAGGATATATGGGGCATTTTAATACAGTTTGTGTTAAGGGGTAACAATAGTGCAAATAAAGTCAGGGAAAAAAAAAAGAATGACAAAAAAAGGTAAAAAGGGTAAAAAAATAAAAGATTTAGGATGGGTAAGAAGTTTGTTTCTTTTTGGAATTTAGTCATTCCATTCATCATTAAATTGGTTTGTATATTTTTGGATTATTCCATTTTTATATATATCTTTACATCATTATCATATTTAAACATTCATAAACATGTCGCATGCAAATTAGGAATTGTGTCATTCATTCAACAAATTTAATAACATAAGCATTATTTGTATTAAACCTTTGAAATAATATCTGTGTTAGTGGGTATAAGAAGTCAAAAATATGAAAGATCAATTAAAGGCCCAAATTAATGCATTAGAACAACCAATCATAGGAGTTTGTCATGACATCGAAGACTGTAGAACAAATAGCCACTGAATTAATGAAGATCATGGATAAACTTAAGAAATTTATTTTAATGCCTTCTCAAGAGTCCTTACCAATTTCAACCTAAGTGAGTCCTATGAATTCATGGAGTCATGATCAACTGATTCTCGTTAAGCCTAGTACACTTTCAAAACATGCTGAATCATTCAATGGTTTGAGCAATAATAAAGGTTTAGACAAGATCATGAAATGGATGAGTGATTTGACCATTCAAGTGTCTGAGCTCTAGAATTTGATTTTCAAGATGGGGTTACCAGGTTTGGTACAACCTTAACCAATCGTTTCGAACTTGAACTTACATACAAATCCTTCTAATGTCTGTTTTCAATATTTTCTCTAAGCATTAAAGAACAAGCGCTAAAACTTTATGCAATCTCTTAGAGGTCCACATCTGAACCAAAATCTTTGACCTTCTATTCCCCAACAACCTATTCAGCCAATTGCTCAATTCTGAACCATTGCACCATAGCTAAATCCTCAGATGCCTAACTTGTTACCTAAAAATTATCCAAGAAAAAAAAACAGTTAGATCTTCTCCCCATTTTATATGAAAAACTCTTTTTTTTTAATCTATTTGAGAGATGCCTTATTGTTCCTATGGCTTTAAAGCCTTTAAAGTTTTCATACCTAAAATATTTTGACCCAAATGCAATATGTGAATACCATGGTAGGAATATGGAGCACTTCATTGAAAATTTTAAGGGTTTCGAATATAATGTGCAATCACTCATATATGTGAAATGGTTCGATCTAACTATAATACAGGATTAAAGATTTAGATATAATAAGAAAGGGATGGCAAGATGATGAACATGAATGAAACTTTTGTTTAAAGAGGATCTTCAAGTGATAAGTTGTTTGGAAAATAAAATGCTTTATGAATTTTTTTTATTTGAAAAGTGCTTTTATGTTGATATGATGTTGTCTGTTGAACTTAGATATATGAATTATGGTTTGTCTCCGATTCTTATTCCTTTGCCAACTTTTATACTTTTCACTAAAAAGCTTCGTCATTTGTGCATTCATTCCTTCATTCATCCATTTATGTATCCATTCAATATAATACAATTCATGTGTGCTCTAAAAGAAAGAATTTTTTCGAAAATAATCTTTATAATTTCTTTTAAGGATCAAAATATTATTTGATTTGAAAGGAGAGATAAAGAATATCGTCGAAGGACTTTATGTTCAAGGAAATTATCAACTTGAATGACCTAGCTTAAGACCCATTAGGGATGAGTTAGGGATCTAAATGAACAGAAAAGGTTTAATCTCTTAGAAAAAAGAGTTTGAACTATTAAAATTAAGGATGAATCTTATGATGCAAAGGAATCCTAGTGTGCTTCAATCGATATTTTGAATTGATAATTTTTCTCAACCACATCATTTTTAGGCTTTACTTTTTTTACCACAAATAATCACAGAGTAAATGATCAACCCAAGCCATTCATAAAGTCGTAAGAGAAAGAAAATTGAGGTATATCATTCATTCCCAATGCCTTGCGCTGAGTTTTTTACTTTACTTATCAAAAATCATATGATCTCTATTGTTCCTGCAAGACCTAGAAAATCTCTCAACCTAAAGTGGTATAATCCTAATACTAAATGTGAATTCCATGATGGGGTTAAAGAGTATTCCATAAAAGATTGTACTGCCTTTAAGGATTTAGTTCAAGCTTTGATTGATGCGGATTTTATAAAGTTTAAAGAGTTGGTTGGTGATCTTGATGATTAATAGCAATAGATTTGTGAGTCAATAATGCTAAAGTTAAAGCATTAAATGGGAAATTTTTGTTTATCTAACTTTGAATGTCATTTCAAGAGTACCATTAGGAATGTAAATTTTTTAGTCAAGTTTGAATGTCTGCATTACATGAGTGAACATTATACATCATAGTGTTTTATTGTTATATTATCATTTGAGGTCTTTTATTTCATTTAAGTTTTAGATATTATAGGTTTTCTTTAAAAAAAATGATAAATAGGAGAAAGATATTAGAATTGAATAAAGTCA